TCGAGATTTTCCGTTCTTGACCGCCACAGTCTACCTTCCTCATCAAACCGCAGTTTGAAACCATCCAAAGAGCGCTTAAGTTCGATGACAAGTGCCTGGAGATTAATAAAGTCGTCTTCTAAAGGTGCCAATGCCCGAGTGATGGGACTCCCAGATAATTCTCTCTTCCTGTGACGAAAATCTAACCAATAGTCTGACCAAAAATCTGCTCGAGAAGCTGCTCGAGAGCCTCGAGAGTCAGATGCTAGCAGTTTCTTAGAAAGGTCCCGAAGCCTATCTGTCCCAGACCTGTCTTCCAGACTTCCAAACCTCCAGCAGCCATCTCTGTCACCTTCGTCGTGATGGCCACAGGACGAACAAGCTCTATGGGACTCCTCCCAGAACTTCGGAACTGCATGACGAGGTAACGTCAGTGTCAACTCCTTGCTGTACTTGCACTTATAAACCGTTAGTAGAGGTAAAAGAACTTCAGGAAACAAAACCTGCTGAGCTCTTCCTTGGGCTCCTCAAAGGACTCTTACTTTTCCTGGCCGGCGATTTTCTTGAGACCGGCGACACAGAACGCCTGCTCAATGGAGCCTCACTCAGTCTCATCGACCAATCTTCCCAAGTTTCCCGCTGCTTAACTGTCTTCTTCAAACTTTTTCTAGCCTTCTTTGGTGACTTCACCGGCTCAACATGCAGTCTTGATGTCTTTGGTGCTCTTAACGACGCTCGAGGAGGCTTGAGTTTGGAAGTCGTCCTCCTGCTCCTGTACGGCGAGTTTCTGCCGTGCATGTCGGGCTCAAGTTGTCTGATTCTCTTCTTGACGTCAACTAGGGCGATTTGAAGGTCCGCAATCTGGCTTTCCCCTCTGTTCAGATGGTAATTCGGATGGCGCGGGATCGTCGACAGCAACAGTGCCTCAAACTTCTTCAGGTGCCCAAGTTCATCTACGTACAGTCCTGCTTTCCGTGAAAAGTCTGCCTTCTTAAGACACAAGCGCGCACTTCGACAATAATAAGTCAATGGCAGGGCTGGCTGGTCCATTACACCGACATTGCTCTATCCCTGGCAGTATATCAGCACTGAACATAAGACTTTCGGGCGTTCCTTTTCGTTTCCTTTGAGTTGGTAGAATGGATCAGCTCTGGAGAACAAGATAAAGGCTAGTCCAGCTTCCAACGGCCGACAAGAACAAATGCTATGCGCTTTCTTGCAGCAGTTAGACCTATGTTTTTCATCAGCTGAAATTGCCGGTAAGTTATTCCAGTTCAAAACGGAGCGTAAAGAACGGAATCGAACCGGGTTTTTCAGGAACAACATCACTCGAATTCAGTTGAATGAGGATCGAACCTAAACCTAAATGCTTTTGGTTCGAAACTGATACATGAAAGCATTCGTAGGTACAAAATTTGAGCTTTGCCAACTACTTTCTGCTGAAATCAATACATTTAGCTTACAAGTGAAGCATTTTTTTGCTTGGAACAGATAACGTTTGTTATGAATCAATGAAAGTCGATTATCCTTTTCAAACGCTTCGATCAGGCCAATGATGTTTTCTTCGTTTATGAAGTCCCACTTCGTCAGCTACGATCAACAGAATCCCAAGCCAACGCCTAAATTCAAGGTAAAAACCAAGATACATCCTTGCCGTAAAAACTCTTTGGCTGCTGGCTTTTGGAAGCTGTTTTCTTTCCACTGCAAAAGGGAAAATCATGAGCTTATGATTGCTTATGAGAGGCTATGTTTGTTGTTCTGCATTCTGGGGATAGCTTTTCAAGTATACGCAGACAAGACATACCGCTGGTCTTGTAAGGCAGCAGACATACCACTGCATCGAACTAATCCTCTGCGGCCATAATATAGTAGCTAATCAATCATAAGAACAAATTAACAACTATTTTATGTGATTAATAATTAGTTATGTTTTACTCTACCGCTTTGTCCACTCACCTATCTTTGGTTTTGGCGTTGAGCTTGCGAAGATTCTTCCCAGTAAGTGCTCTTGTGCTTCCTCCTTTGGCTGGCCATTCCACATGAACTGAGTGACATCGTCCACCTTGGACAGCTTGAGCAAAAGCTACTTCTCCTTCGAATGGTTTGATCTCAATGCCTGAACCTCAACATTAGCCTCTTCAACTCATGCTTAACCTTTATTCTACGCACGAAACCGGTCCTTGTCCTGATGCAATCCTCAATGCCCTGACAACGCAGTAAGCCATTGCCATCTTGCTCAAGAACGCCTCCAGTGCTCATGTTCTTCTTCCATACAAGCGCATTCAGGTTCAGCGGGTTTGCCCTGTTTTTTCTTTCCCTCTTTCAATTGATGATCATCCCCTGTTGACACCTGCGAGGCTGTTTTCTTGGACAAATTGTATCAAAGAAAGCACAATTTGGTGCTAGGTACCACTTTCTTGACAAGGCAGACTGCACTTCTGCTTCAAACTCCTTTGGCTGGCCAATCCACAAGAACTGGGTGACATCTTCCACCCTAGACAGTTTGAGAAACAGTTTCTCAAGCTCCCTATCATCTGTTTCTCCTTTGAATGGCTTGATCTCAATGCCACAAGATGGCGAACATCATCCAACTAGCCTCTTCATGTTGCACTTAGCAAGCTTGGACATCCTTGACAAATCCCTGTCACCACCTGGTGCAATCTTTAATTTACCTCGCTGATCAGATGCTCAAATGCAGTCACAGAATCATTAACATGATTTGAGTCTGATGTTAGATTATGATTTCGTATACCTGGGCCTCTTGAGTTTTTTCTGCAAATGAATGTGTCATCTAGATCCAGCACCTGTCCATTCCTTCCTGCAGCCCCCTAATCAGGATTCCTCTTCTTGCATCCACCATCCATGGCCTTACAATTTTTGGAAATTTCTTAGGGCGATCGGGCAAATTCATACAGGACAAGCTGCCAGGCAAAGAAAAAATCATTTCCCCAGGGAGATGAAGAATCTGTAAGTTTTCTGTTGATCACATCTTCCTCTTTTTCCAGCTTTTCTCTAAGTTCTCTTTCTCCATAATCTAAAGTTCTTTCCTTGATCCTGGCAGAATCTCTTTTATAAATATATCGTCAAGCTCAGGTGCGGCAAGCACTTTCGATCCACAGGGATCTTCCAAAAGCTCTGGAAGAGCGACAAGGATGACAAGCAGTCGCCACTGCTTGTTAACAGCAAGTTCATGCTCTGCAAAGGCTTGCACTTGCACATCAGAGATTGCGAGGGATGGCCGAGAGACCAGAGAAGTTTTGGATCGAACTCGCTGTTGAGGAGTGTAAGCTTACCATTTCCAGGATCGAAGCCACTGTTTCTAAGCTCTTCATTGAGCCTGCCGTCCAAAATTTCTGGATGGTGTGATCAAGAAGGAGAAGAACATATTGTGGAAATTGATCCAGGATATTTGAGCTCCAAAGGAATAGTTTTGGTGCATGGTTCTGGAGGTGATGTCTTCTCTTGGAGGCATGTAATGGCTCCGCTAGCTTGACAAACCGGCCACAGTGTTGCTGCGTATGATCGGCCTGGCTGACGAGCCGGCTGGGCAAAAATGGTGGCCGTGACAAAGATGGTCTTCCCAATCCTTACGAGCGCCAGTCACAAGTGAGTGTCCTATTCATCGTCTTCTAGAAAAAAAGAGAGCTTTTTCTGTTGTTCTTGCTTGTTTGATTTCTCTGATTAGAGCTCGCAGGTGAATTTGCTGCTGAGCTTTTGCCAGGAACTAAAATTCTCATTGGTCGTACGCGATGGTGGATTGCTCGCTCTTATGGCAGCTGCCAAGATCTTGAAATCTCTAAGCTCAACGCAGGTAAGCTCCAAGCCACTATAGTTGGATCATCTCATGGATTTTCATTTCTGTGATGAAGGTGGTGATCAAAGGTGTGGTTTTGATCGCGGCGAGCTCCTCCAGAGAGGTGATATCGCCATTTGCTCGAGTTTTGCTCCACACTACTTTGGGACGGCACATACTCCGGCCATTGCTGTGCCTGGAGATGGCGAGTTGCCATGCCTGGCACGATGCTTCCAAGCTCACCTCCGAAGTGATGGAACTTTACAAGGTATGAGGAAAAATTCGATCTTGATCAAAATATTTCCATGATCTTCCGTGTATACATTGATCCAGGTATCTTTTCTATCTTGTTGTGATGTCTAGGCCATTTTCTTCTCACAAACTTGCTCCTGGACAAAATGAAGGAGACCGCCAAGGAAAGTGTTTGTCAATCTCTCCTCCATTGCGCATATTGCCTCTTACAGCGGTGGAATCCAGTTCTCACACCTTAATGACAAAGCCTGGTACACCAAAAAACTCTCTTTTCTCGTGAGCTTACATTCTTCCTTTTTTCTTCCAAAAGGTACTCCAACACTAGAGCATACAGTCAATCCAAGCTCACGAACATCTTCCACGCCAAAGAACTGGCAATGAGATTCAAGGTATTCGTCTAATGCTTTGAAATCTCTCTCACCTTTCTCTTTCGTCAATGCTTTCTCTTTCGCTGATTAGGCTGAAGGAGTTGACATCACAGCCAACACTGTAGGTTTATAATGACACCTTTGATGCGGTACACATTCTACATAATGAGTTTGTCTCTTTGTCTTGTCATTGTTTTCGGTTACTTATGGAACTTTGATCTTCATGCAGGGGTTCTCAAGTTCTTCTCCAGCTTCCTTTGGAAAAATGTGCCACAGGTAAGAAGAATTCTCCCAATTATCTGGAAGTTTTTCGTGACTAATACGTGATTGATCTCTCAGGGCGCTGCTATGACGTGCTACGGCTTTACATCCAAGCCTCAAGGACGTCATGGGGCAATACTTCGTGGATTCCAACAAATCCAACTGTAGCACTTATGGCAGAGATCCCAAGCTCGCTCACAAGCTATGGACCTTCTCCCAGGAGCTTATAGACAAGCATTCTCCGTCCTAAAGGTAAAAGGTTGATAGTGCTAGAGACAACTGGGTAATGATTTGTGGATAGACTGTATTTACTCTTCTCGAAAGCTTGAGCTCGAGCTCGAGCTTGATCAAAAGTAAGATGCATTGCCTATATTGCACATGACTAAAACTTTTGTTTCAAGCATGTCGTCCATCGTGTACTTGACACCCTCTCGTTGGATTCCAGAGTCTTTGATCCCACCGTATGGCTGACTATCAACGCACGTGCTTGGCGAATTGTTGAGGCAAACTCCTCCAGCCTGTGAGGATCAAATAATCATCAAACAATCGATCAATACTTTCTATATCTCAAATGCAAAGCTACCTCTATGTGCTCAAACGCATAGAAGACCTTGTTTAGATCATATGTAAAGACGCTGGCTTGGAGACCGTAATATGTGTTGTTAGCTTCCTTCACAGCTTCCTTGAAATCACTGCGTCACCACCGTTTTAGTTTAGAGAAATAAAAAGGAAGTAAAGAAGAACTTCAGGAGCTAAGAAACTTTGAGAGATTACTTGTATGAGTAGAGAAGGATCATGGGATTGAAAATCTCTTCCTTCCTTGCATCTGTGTCAAAGGGAGTGTCTTCCAGGATTGTTGGCTCCATGAAAGCTTCCCTTTGCTTACCACCAACTAAAATTTTGGTGCCTGCCTTCACTGCCTCGTTCACGCTCTTCTCCACTGTAGCTGCCGACGACCTGGATATCATGGGCCTGATTGATGTGTCATCTTGGCGATGATCTCCACCTTTGAGTTTCTTAATGGCAGTGATCAATGAATACTTCACCTACACAACCAGCACCAAATACGTTAGATCAAAGCTCGATTTGAGAACAAAGAATACGATAGAATTTAAAGACAAGTGTCGGATACCTCACCTTTCACGTAAAGACGTTGCATGTGAATGCACGACAGGCCACTTTGATAGAATCCCTTGTGGACCAACTTAGCGATTGTACCTTCCAAGTCTGTACCTTCCAAATAATTTTTTTATTTTAGGTCAAGGTCTATAAAAACATAACACCCTTTTATTATATATATTAAATACACTTACAATATCAACATAATCCCACCTTCTTGAAATAAATGTATAAAACTATTTTACATAAAAGAAATAAAATGATACTCATAAAGTGTGCACTTGAAACTCTTGGACAAAGTGTGTTATTTAGAATTTATATTTTATAGCTCCAAAGAATGTAGATAGTGGCAATAAAATTTAAGTGTTAAAGATGGGTTTTACAAGATGACAAATATATTTAAAAACGAATTACAAAAAAAAGAAATTAGAGAATAGATTTGTTTAGTTAAAAACCAGATAGCGGATGTCGCGAATGTGACTTTGGGTATCGCAAGTTACATGTCGGCTAGTCCTTACGGACACTCTTTCCTTACTACCACAATGGCAGGAGGTCAGTATTGCTAATTCCCTTTATCAACGCCCTTGTTCAAGTGTTAATTTACTGGGCTTAGCACCTATACTTAGCTAAATGGACATAAGGTAGGAACTCCTATATGTTTCTAGCTAAGCATACTCGGCTTGGCTCTTAATTCTCTTTTGCTTTGTCTTGCACTGGCTTGACAAGAACCCTCGCATATTGAGATTGGTCCCTCAATATTGCTGGATGATAGCTTACCGTGTTTGCCAAACACCCTCGCTATCACGCCCTTTGTGTTAGTCTTATTTCGGTCCTAAATGCTATTTATGGAAAGTGTTTAGATTTGCTCATTTGGCATATCTACGGAATATAAAAATTGAATTAAACATAATGGTGTTTGTCCCATATCCAAATTTGCAATCTAGCGCCATTCCATATTTAGTAAGTTTCAAGTGTAAGGAATCAACTCGCCGAGGTGTCGTAGGCTAAAGGAGCCCCGAAAGCATGACCAAAATGATAAAGAGTTCATCGAATGGGACCAAGTCTAAGATCGAGTCCAAGACCGACTCTAAGACCGAGCTCAAGATAGAGTCCGAAATCGAGTCCAAGACCGACTCGAAGACCGAGTTCGAGACGGAGTCCAAGATCCAAAATCGGGTCCGAGACCGAGTCTGAGGTCGAGTCCGAGGTCGGGTCCGAGATCGGGTCCGAGATTGAGTCCGAGATTGAGTCCGAGACTGAATCCGAAGTCGGATCCGAGATCGAGTCCGAGATCGAGCCAAAGACTAAGTCCGAGTACTAATACGGGTCAAGGGGTGAGCGTGCGTCTCCCAGGGGGGGGGGGGGGGAGCTGCAGGGGGTTCCAAAAGTATAGTAGGGATAGTGAGGTCCAGGAACCAGTCTTGAAGGAATTCTCCAGTAGTGCTCCAAACTGACTTGAGGTTGAGACTAGGGCCGAGGGGCCTTGGGTGGGAGTGAGCATAGGCTTGGGTGGTGCTGGAGGGGCCACCCAGGGAAGTGTTCAAGAGCAGCTCCCACTCCCGAAAGGGAAACCGACTATGGTGCTCCCGGCTCAGGTGGAGTGGTGCCGCACTTGAGTACCTTGTGGCTCATTGGTCCTCGCCCTTCCTAGGGGCTTGGGCATTCCCTTCGGGATGGAAGTGGGGGGGTAGAGGTACCCATACCAGGCCGTTAGGCCATGGTGTTTCGCCCCGACGTCCCGAAGCAAGTGCTGCATCCAAGGCTTGGGATTTAGAGGGTCCCATGATCAAGTCTTGTTGTACCAAGGGGTGTTAGGAACTTGGAGGCTTGGTGTGCTTGGCTGCTTGTGCCTGCGGGGAGTGTAGCCGAACCTTAAGTCAAGTCTAACCCGGGAAGGGGGATTGGGAGAGAATTGGGAAACCGTAGATGGATGGCTAACACTTTGTTACTCGTGCAGTGAGTAGCTGAAACCAAGTAGGACCAAGTAGGAGCTGGTACAATAGGTGAGAACTTTGGCAATGGAACTTAGCACAAGCCAAGGCAGTGTTGGTTGGATAGACGAGGTAAGCTGGCAAATTGGAAAGGAAAAATTTGTGGCTTACAATTTGGTATCGGAGCCTTTTCCTCAGTTCTAGCGAAGGATAGAGGCGGATTGCTGGGAGATGGCAAAGGCAGGGCAGAAGCGAACCAAGGCGGAGACAAAACCTCCTCCAGAGCTGGAGCCTCCAGTGGAACGAGAGGCTATGGATGAGGAATCCTTGCATGAGGAGGACTCTAGTGAGGAAACTTCCAAACATGAGTCCGGTGGCGAGGTTCGGTCGTCCAAGGCTCAATTGGATGTGCTAAAAGGATAATTGGCACAGACCAATGCCCTGCTGGAGACTCTCGTACGCAAGCTAAAGCGTGACGAGAAGCGGAAGAAAAAGAGAAAGACTACGGATGCTGGCAGCGCAGAAGGTGCGGACCCTTCGGCAGGGACTAAGGCAGAACCAAACAAGGTCGAACAGACTGAAGTAGAATCAGTCCCTTAGGCAGTTCCCAAGTACAAACCAAAGCCCCCACCGGTCTTCAAGGGAGTGAATGACTATAAGGTGGTGGAGGATTGGTTTTACGATATGGAGGACTACTTCCGAGCGTTGCAATTACCGATCTCGGAGAAGGTCTCATGTGCAAAACCATATTTGGCAGATAATGCCAAGTTTTGGTGGAGAACGACGGAGGCCAACGAAGGACCGGTGGCCACTTGGGACATGATGAAGGCGAGGATCCGTGCAACATACGTTCCTCCGAATGCCACAGTGACTCTGCATCTGAGAGATGAGTTGAGTAGGCTGAAGCAGACTGGAATCATCCAAGAATATGTGAATGGGTTCATGGCAAAGAGGATACTTGTCACGGACATGGGGGATATGGATGCGTTCCATGCCTTCATATCAGGTTTGCAAACTTGGGCTCGCAGTGAGGTGATGCGCTGGAACCCGACCAACTACAAGGAAGCGTTGGATGCGGCCATCAAGGTGCATTTCAATGATAACCTGCGACGGGGTCGGGATCCACATTTAGCAAAAGGGCCAAACCAAGGGGAACGTATAGCAAGGGGAAATTCAAGAAGAGTTTCTCTAAGAATGAGTCCTCGGGGTTCTAGAAAGGCAAATTCGGTGGCCAGCGAGCGAGTACGTGGGGGAGTCAAGCGAAAAGAGACAAACCCAAGGATAAGAAGGTCAAGTCGTATAGCAGTGTGGGAAACAACGTATGCTACAACTGCAGTGAAGCGGGACACTTTTCGAGGGAATGTCCCTACCCGAAGAAGGCCAGAGCCAATATAGCCATCAAGTCGGGTGAAGTCCAAACTAAGGTATGTGATCCAGTCCCTAACTCAAAGTTACTCATTACACAAGCAACTTTGGTAGAGAGTCGTTCGCGACATCTACTAGCCTTCCGAGGGAAGCTCGGAGGTAGCTTTTTTAAGATCCTTATTGACACGGGTGCTTCGGATAATTTTGTGGCTGCAGACATAGTCTGGCAAGCCGGACTAACGATGCAGCAGCTGGGTGAACCAAGGACTATAGATTTTGTTCAAGGTAGCCAAAGCACCGATGAGGTACTTCGACAAGCGAGAGTCGAAGTAGGGACATGGAAAGTGGACATGGATTTCACCGTGTTGGACATGGCGGGATTTGACGTGATCTTCAGAATGGATTGGTTCAATCGGTTCGTGGTAGCCCTGCATGGAAAAGGTAGGAACTTTGTGGTACTGGCGAATGCCCAAGGAACAAGATCTAGGGTGGAGGCCCAGGATTTAAAGGTAGGGCAAAGCAAGGCCAAGGATTCTTGCTTAAACCTAGTGTCCACGAGAGGACAACTCACTAAAGGAACTAAGGCAGCCTTTTTGTGCTTACTCTCGGTGAAGAGTGATAAAAAGACAGGAACAGAAGAAGTACGTTTAGTGATCTAGCGGGTGTTGGACCAATTCCAGGATACCATGACGGAGGAGTTACTGGCGGGGTTGCCCCCCGCACGACTGATAGAACATAAGATTGAACTGGTCGAGGGTGCTGAGGCGGTGGTTCGTCCCCCCTATCGTTTGAACGAAAAAGAACTCAAAGAGCTCAAGTGCCAACTAGAGGAGTTGGTGGACAAAGGGTATGTTAGGTTGAGCAAGTCACTGTATGGGGCACTGGTGTTATTTGTGAAAAAGAAAGATGGTTCTATGCGCATGTGCATAGACTACCGATTGCTCAACAAGTATACAAAGAAGAACAAGTACCCTTTGCTAAGGATTGAGGACCTGTTCGATAGGTTGGGAAAAGCAAAATACTTCTCGAGGATTGACCTAAGGTCAGGATACTACCAGATCAGGGTAGCCGAGGAAGATGTCGAGAAGACAACCTGTCAAACGAGGTATGGGAGCTTTGAGTTTCTGGTGATGCCCTTCGAGCTATGCAATGCACCGGCAGCGTTTTCGGCGCTGATGAACCACATTTTTTTTACCCTATCTGGATCACTTCGTGGTCGTCTATATCGACGACATCCTGATCTATAGCGAGACGCTAGAGGAGCATGCCGAACACTTGGCGAAGGTGTTTGAGAAACTAAGGGAACACAAACTGTATGCTAAAGAGAGCAAATGTGACTTTGCTCAACAAGAGGTAAAGTTTCTCGAGCATGTGGTGGGCCAGGACGAGCTCAAGGTGGACCCAGAGAAGGTCCAAGCGATCCAGGAATGGGAGTGACCATTGAATGTACATTTGTTGGGGGCGTTCTTGGGGCTATACAACTACTACCAAAAGTTTATCAGACACTATTTGAGAGTAGCCCTGCCCTTAACGAACCAAACAGGAAAAGGGAAGATGGTATGGACAGCAGAATGCGAGGCGGCATTCGTCCACCTCAAAGGAAAGTTGAGGAAGGCTCATGTGTTGGCATT